AAATTCCTATATTATTTAGACAAATATAAATAACTAGAAAGTAAAACTAAACTAGAAGCAAAAACAAACAAAAGATACAAATACAAGAAAAGCTCCTACGATCGGTTTTCTCTCTAACCTTGCTAGATAAATAACCAGATTATTGCAATCCATAGCCTTGGCTAAGGATAGCGTAATTTTTCAATTTATGTGAAATTTACTCTCGTAATAAATCAACTGTACATATAACTAATCAATACCTACTCTCGTGGTTATGAAATTAACTATAAGTTCATAAGTTCCTGTGAAATTACATGATAAAAAGTTCTAAAGATATTCCTTTACTCTCGTGAGTGAACTCTCTAGATCTAGTACTTCTTTAAACTAATATTAAACCCCAATTCTCGTTGATAATTTAACACCTTGATTTAGATAATCACAATAAATGACTAGTTAATCATGATCTTACAAACAAAAATGCGAAATACCTGCTCAAAGGATAAACACGACAACCAAGTTCATTTCATCCAACAAAGAAGAGATTAAACCTACTTAGGCATGAAACTTTAGAACAACATAGTGAAAAAAAAAAAGACCAAACCTGCATTATAACTAAATATGAAATCAAATACAAGAGTGATTGGAGAGATGTCACCTTTGTCATATGAGCTCCCAAGATCTCCATCTGTGCTCCTTCAATTTTCATCCATGTCTAGCGATGAATACAAGAATGGATCAAAAACTATCTAGCCTAATCCAATCTTAAGTAACAACTAGGAGTTTTGCAGTTTAAGAGCTATATTTTTAGTGGTTTTCTTCTGCCTTCCAAGCTACTCAAAACTAAGCTAATGAACTATGAAGTTCTAGTGAAAAACTACTTCTTGTGCAGTATTTTCCTAGGCTTAAAGATATAAAAATGTGTGTTGAAGTCCCATATTTATGGATAAATTTGTTCCATCAACTTCGTTAAAATCGATGCAAAATAGGTCTTAGAGATTCCCAAAGTATGTTTCTTGAAGTCTTCAAGATCTCTTTGGGCAAAACCAATCGAAATCTTTAGAAAATTTGGTCAAAAAGTTTGTGTGTAATAGTTGCAACTTTTTTTTTTTGTCAGCAACGATGCATTTGTTTAACCTACTCTATCCTAATCTAGGGGGAGGAGGAGTCTAAGGAGGCTGTGGTAGGGGCTAGTGGGTATACAAATTCAACTAGACCAAGGGAGTGTTATGGCATAACTCTTAAATTTTTTTCGCTGTAAATGAAGTTTGAACCCTCACCTACAACCCAAGGAGAGACTTAAATCTTTCCCTGGTGACCACTGAGCTATTGGCCCAGTGGTTGTGTAATAGTTGCAACTTGCACAGCTGCAAAGTGAAAACGCGGTTGGAGCCAACATTTTAGTCCACAAATTCACTTCCCCAACGGGTTTGACACTTTGGACAGGATTCTAGAAATTGCTCTATTTTACACCAATTAGAGCTACAAATTTCTCGGTGATGGAGTCGACCTGGCTCTTGTACAAATTATAAAAATTGTAGCCCTTTGAGTTAACTTTCTAATACATCAAAAATCATCTCATTTAGAGGTCTGGTGACTAGTAAATGACCAAAATACTCTTGACTAGTTAGCAACCTTTTCCATATTTTGGTAGCAGCAATGTATGGCTGCATTTCACCTTTTTTACTAAATAAAAACATGTGAATTGGACTTCAATGTCTCATAAAAAATATAGCCCAGGATATTAGCTTTAAAAGGTTCAAGAATGATTTCAATCCAATAGTTATAACTCAATTTTTAGCCAAAATACCAATGTGTTAGTGCAACCAAACCACAAAAAGCAAAATTTACTAGAAATCTAGTTAGTGGCTCTTAGAATAACTAAAGCATACAAAACAACTAGGTAATAAAATACACTAAAAACATGTAAAATAAACATTTATCAATTTTCAATTGATTTTGAAAACCTAATTTTAGTTTTTGACCTTCACAAATAGCTATTTTATTATAGTTTCAACTACTTTTTTTTTTGATATTCTGATTGATCTTTAAGATCCCACAAAAAAGAAAAAAAAAAAAAAAAGAAGCGTATCCTAAGCTGCTTTTGAATTATGATTGAGGATTACATTTTCATGCAAACAAAACTACACTCAAAATTTTAAAATAAGTACTAAAATATCTAGATTCTAGTTATGCAGCATAAAAGGCAATTTGGGCATCCCTTTGGGAGTATAAGTTACTTACGAAAGTTCTTACAAATTGCTTACTAATACCGTGCACATAGCCCTTTTGTATTTTTCTTTTTAAGAAAAAGTTTGGGTGAATTTCACTCCGATCATCACTAGGGGTTATGGCATGTTTTTGGAATATAAGTCGCTTACGAAAATTCTTACAATTGTTTTGTATTTTTTTAAAGAAAAAATTTTGAATGAATTCCATTATAATCTCACTACAAGTCAAGACTTGTCTCGGGGAGCATAAGTCGCTTATGAAAAATCTCATGGATTATAAGTTTTAATATATTACTCACTAACATAGTGCACGACCTTTTCTATAATCTCAAGGACTTAAAAGCCTTCGGTGACTTGACATTGAGTGTTTGGATAGCATTGTTATCTAAAAATAATATTTCGCTTGGATCATAAACACATTTTCCAACTCATCTTTTTATATTCTCAACCACCTTTTTATCTCACATACATCACATCACAAAAAGTACTACAGTAATTATTTCAAATAATATTTCAACTAATACCCTATCCAAACAAACCTATATGTCTAGTTTGGAAAAAGCGGCACCCTGGTTACCGGTTTTTCTACCCAAATCAGGTACCTGTGACTTAAAAAATCCATTCATAAACCCAAATTATTGGATTAGACAGTTGACATGGACCAAAATTTAACGCAGTCTGTCTACCCAATTATGCAAGTAACTGGGCTTGACTTAAACAACCATTTAGACCAATTAGTCAAAGACAATTTAATTTATTTTCTTATTCAATTAAAATTTAAAATTTTCAATGTCCACACACAGGTCCGCTATTTCCAACAACATTAGATTCATTACAGCTCCCAATCTTGACTTTTTTTTTTTCAAGTTTTTTTTTTAGTATAAGTGAGACGTCTCAAACTCGAATCTGCCGCTTACATTTCCTCCCTCTCTCTTTCGATACAATTCAACTCATCCCTTTCTCAACTCCCAATCTTGATTTCCTTTCCTCAGAAAATGCTGATAGCTATTCGCCACGAATCTTTCAAATCAAAGTCTACAACCTGATTTTTTTTTTTTTTTTTGTATTATGATTCATTTGCCAACAACTCTACTAGACTGAAGAAATAAATAATTCGATGGCTTCTCTGATAAAAACTTTGCAAGTTTCATGCCACAAAAAACTTAAATTGGAAGATGTTTAGGTGGATTCTACTAGATATGTTTGCAAAATAATCAACGGAGAGGAGAAAAGTGAATGCCATTTAAGATAACTCCAAGTTATGTTATTTTGGGGAAATTCTACCGTCCCTTAATCTGTTGGTGCTATTTTGATAGGGTTCCAAACCAGTAGATTGCCATATCCTCAAGTATAAAATCATAATCAGATTTGCTTTGGATTAAATCTTAACGTTATTGACCGCCCATTGAGTTGTGCTATCAAACTTGTCATGGATTTGTTTGTGATGTATAAATTTCCTCTGACCTCTCTGAGAAGATCACATAATCCTAGAAATACCAATGAATTCAACTGACTCTCACAAGCTGCAATTTCCTCTAATACATAGTGTTCATGCTTTTGTAGAAGGCTGCCATAGGCAAAATCGTTAATGCTACAGCAATATTAATTTGTATAAATTATCAAAAATTTTCAGTCAACTATCCTAATCATCTTGGATTAAAAGAATGACCTGAGATGGTAGTGGAGAAAACTGGGCGTGGAATTTTGACTGTGACTGTTGCAAAGTTATTAACAAACTTTATATTATTGAAGAAATAATTGTATATAGTACCAAAAAAATAAAAAGAAAAATATATGTTTACAGTTTCTTATAGAAACCCTTTATCTCTTAAACAATCATCAGCAAATCAGTTGGTGTTAACATGTAAATATAGTTGTTTTTTTTTTATAGAAAAGATAATTTCATTCAAATAAATCTGCATTAATGAAATGTTTTTTCTTATGTTAGAATTAATTTTGATACGAGTTAATAAATTTTCCAAGCCATTTAGTGCTTAATAATAGGTATGTGCTTGAGCATCTACTGTTTTATGATCGTTTGTGTGCTTGTGATCAACATCATGCCCTAGCTGTTTTAGGGTTAAATAGATTAATCTGTGTTAACTTCAATCTAATCGAATTCCCATTTTATAAAGGAAGTTAGCCAAAAAACACACTTCAACTCGGTTTTATTCCGAGTTTAAAAATGCAATCTCGGCCAAGTGTTGCCGAAGTTATTTGAATTAGTAAGATGATATTGACTTTATTAATATCGAACTTTAGAGTAAATCTGGTAAACTCGACCTGAAATTACGAGTTATTATTCGAGTTGAGTTAGTGGTTAATCAAAATTGACAGTTCAATATTCTAAATTGATGATAAGTAACATGAAAATGATCAAGTACAAGTCCTATGAAACTTACCACTTAAACTAACTATTAGAAAATTTTATTCTTCACCAAATGAAACAAAAAATGGATATGGCTTACAAGTTATAACTCCTAATTTTGACTGGATAAAAACTTCCGAGCATATTAAACTCGATAACTTTAAGAGCCTAATTCGAGTGCCTCTGTTATTGAAAATCTATCTTATTAGTCTAGCCCTATTACTATTAGTTAAGATTAAAACAAAAACAAGGTAGAGGATAGTTTTTTTTCTTTTTGGCTGAAATTGTGGATTGTTATTAATAACGTAGGATGATGATTATTATGTTAACTATTATTAGAGAAAGGTTAATGGATACTTGGATCAAGAGAAGACTTGAGAAACATGCCACATTTACACTTTAGAGTCTTGGGGGAAAAGGATCATGAAGAAGACTGACTACCAAATTTTGTTGAAATAGCGCAATAGCAGTAATACAGACAGCAATCACAAAAATGAAAAGCCCCATTTCCATGCAAGCCAAGCTGATTTCCATGGAGCTTTCGGGAATCAAGATAATGTGCTCCTTAAACTTATTGACATCGCATCCGAGATAGCCTACATTATTCACTTGGTTGGAACTTGGAAGCTAGAGTTGATAGAATATTCTCCTACAACAGGATCCTGGGGGAAACATTCTTGAACTTAAACCAACTGTTACAAAACTGACACTGAAACTGATGCCAAAACCTATCCCAAATGTGAGCCAAAATATGACTTTAGTTTCTAGACTCTCCTTATCTGCTGGAGAGAGTGCAGCTGTGGTCTTTCGTAGATCAGTGCAAGGGCGCCCAAGAGGTTGACCACATAAGCCTGGATTGCCGAGAAAACTTGCGTCTGAGAAAGTATCAAACTGACCTCCAGTGGGTATTGGGCCCTGTAGATTGTTGTTTGCCACACTGAAGGACGATAAAAAGTGAAGATTCTTGAGTGAAGAAGGTATTTCACCAGAAAATTGGTTTTCAGAAAGGTTCAGCCTCTCTAAGTTAGTCAGATATGATATTGAGTCAGGAATGATTCCTGAGAGTTGGTTATCACTGAGGTCTAGGTTATGAATGAACTTTAATTGGCCAATTTCCACGGGAATATTCCCAGAGAGGTGGTTTCCATTAAGATATATAGCTGGTGGCAAGCTAGATAGCTTATTGTATTGCAGGGACGAGAGGTTATAGGGTTTTACAAAAAGCGACAACTCAATGTAGGAATAGTGTACTTCATCTGCCATCTGCTTACGTACTAGTCGTGGCAATCCTAGGACTTGAGCTGATAATTGACCTGAAAGTAAGTTGTTAGATAAATCCAAATAAAACAGATTTGGCAAAACTCCTAACCAATTAGGAATTGAACTAGTGAATGCATTTTCTGAGAGATCAAGAACTTCCAATTTCCCAAGTTTAGCCAGCCAAATAGGGATTGTCCCATTTAATTGGCACCGTCCTAATGCCAGAACCATAAGATTTGGGAATCCATCAGAACCAACTAAGTTTCCTTCATTTGACAAGCTTTCATGATGGAAGTTCGTTGAGAGTAGCAATACGCCGAGATTTTTGCAGCCACTAAGAATTCTGATTGCACCTGTGATGTTGGTTAGACTGTTATTGGCAATTGAGAAAAAAGACAATGATTGTAACGATTGTATCTCAGGTTGGATCTCCCCTGTGAGCCGGTTAGTTGACAAGCGTATTGCAGTCAATGATGGACATGAAGCAATACTCAAGGGGAAGCTACCATTGAACAAATTAGTCCCAAGATCAATTGTTCTAAGCCGAAGAAAATTTGAGAAATCAAAGCCAGAAAGTTCACCGGAAAGAGAGTTGACCCCTAAATTCAGCTTTGTGAGTCGTGTGCAATTCATCAGCGACAAGGGAAGAGTGCCATTCAGGTAGTTCATGTGAAGAAGCAGATACTCCAAGTTGGAAAGTTTCCCTACCTCATGAGGGATTGGGCCAGTCAATTCATTGGCATAAAGTTCAAGAACTTTTAGGCTGGTAAGATTCACAATGCCATTACTCAATGGGCCTGAAATTTTATTGCCTGGAAAGGATATTTCTTGCAAAGTTGATAGATCAAAAAAATTACCAGGAAGAGATCCCATAATTGAATTGAAACCTGCACGCAATACCCTCAAGTTGGAGCAGGTTCCAAAGCCAAAGGGAATCGAACCGTTGAAATGATTTAAAGAAAAATCAAGAAGTATGATTGAAGCGGAGAAGTTGCAGATAACGGAAGGTAGTTGGCCATAAAAGCTGTTATCACTGACATTGAAACTAATCAAGTTCCTCGCTGCCTGTAGGAACAGAGAATGAACAATCCCTTCAAAGTTGTTACTGGAAAGATCCACTGTTTTGATGGATGTTGGCAAATGATCACCAGATGCCAGTAATTGTCCAGAGAGACTATTGTAGCTTAAATCGATCATTTCCAGTCTATTTAGTGACAAAAAAAGCCTTTCTGGCAGATGGCCACTGAGCTGATTGTGCGCCAAACTGAGTTGTCTAAGATGGCTGAGGTTTGTGATTGAAATAGAGATTTTTCCTTCAAGGCCTCGTGAAGTCAGCCATAGGCGGGACACCCGACCATTATAAGCACAACTAACACCTTCCCAAGAACAGCAGTCAATTGAAACACTCCAATTTAAAGGAGATGAAGTAGAGACTCCATTGTAGATGGATAACAATGAGTCCCGATCAAGTTGATTGCATGAAGCTTGGGTAGTTCTAGTACCATAGCATGGAAAAACCAAGATGAAGACAGCCAGCAGCTGCATAAACGAAAAGCAGCAGCCACAGAGGAGGGAAGATGAAGAGTTATGAAGTGAATTCAAGAACATTGAAGCTCACCGGTGATCCAGTCAGAGAACAAACTTTTGGCAAAGACTAAGATGGTCTTTCTCTTTCCTTAGTAAAACTTGACATTATCAAGGCTAGTAGAACATTGACCGTGTTAATTGGCTATTGGATGGTTTACTTCTACTCTTTTTGACGGGGAACTGGGGCCATATCCTCCTTCCAAGAAAATGACACCATGACAGAGCAGGCTAATTCCTTTGATTATTACTCAAAAAATAAAAAATCAAAAGAATATTCTTTGACATGGGTATGGTATGAAACTATGTCTGCCGGACTTAGTCAGCCTAGCAGAAAAGAAAAAAAAAATTTAATTAAGAAAAATTTTTTTTGAGAAATTTTTTTCCATTTGTTTTGGAGCAGCCAAAAAGGAGGAGGAAGAGGAAACTCATGATGAATTAGTTCTTGACTCGGTGATCAAATTTGTAGCTGATTCAGTTAAGCAATTTCTAGTGGCCATAGCATGGATAAAGAGCCTTTTCTTGCATGTTTCTTGGGTATAATAGATTTTATACTCATGCTAGCTGACCTTTCTACTATTCAAGAAAAATAGTCTGACTTCAGGGAAAAGGAAATGAAAATTAGTTTGAATGTAATTTGTGTATGTATGTGTGTGTGTGTGTGTTTTTTTTTTTTTTTTTTAATTTTCCATGTGGATTTTAATGGCATTTTTAACTATGGTTTCAGCTAAATTTTAGCTGTGATCATTTGGTTACTGCAAAACAGCCAGATATATCCTCTATCTTAGCAATGGTTAGTATACACTACTACTTATAGTAGATTATTTCTTGGAATTTTATTTAAGTGATATTAGTCTTAAAATTAGTAAGGATTAATTGATGGCCAGCATTTTTTTCTCTGTTGGGTAAATTTTTGATGATCGACGTTGGGCTATGTGATTGTTTACTGGAGCAGATTTTCTTTGCTTGGAAAAGACTGTTTAGTTCGAGCTGTAGAATTTTGGCCAGGCAATTGACCTATTTCACGAATTTTAGCCCTCTACTAATTAGTACAGTCTGCAAAATTGTTTGGAAATGTTAAACACAGACTGAAACATTTTATTTGGAAATGTCTGCAAAATTGTATTCCAATCAATCACCTGGTGCACAGAAGAACAGGGAAGGGAAACAACATATGCGCAAGTTGTGGGGATGAAATTGAAACTCTAGAGCATCTGTTTTTCGAATGTGACTATTAAAAGAAGATTTGGAAACTAAGTCCAATCAGCTGGGATGGGTTAATAGACCTACAATCTAGTTTCTGGAGATGGTGGGAAGGACTCTTAGAAGCAACTCAAAGAGTTAATGGTCAGGAGCACATAGAACTAACAATCAACATCCTCTAGCAAGTCTGGAAAGCAAGGAACAAGATCAGTTTCAACAACGCAAAAATGGAGGAAATCACAGTTGTGAGAAAAGCTCAGCAAGAATGGATGGAATTCAAGGAAGCTGTGGAACTAGAAGGTAGATCTGGCATTGCTGAAACAACCCCCAATCAGCATGGTAGAAGCTGGAAGCCTCCAATAGAAGGTGTGTACAAGATAAACACAGACGCTGCAATTTCCTCACAAATGATCAGAACAGGAAAAGGAATTGTAGCTAGGAATCGGAAAGGAGAGATTCTGAAAGCTTGGGCCATAATGGTGGAAAAGATAGAAGAACCAGGACTAGAGTAGGCTGTGGCAATCAGAACTGCTATGCAATTAGGAAAAGAAACAGGCTGGAGGAACATTGAAATACAATCGGATTGCAAAAGTGTGATAGACTGCATTACAACAGTCTCATGCAACAACTGCAGCTATGCTGTGATACTGGAGGATATACATAAGTTGAGGGAGTTTTTTGATCAATGCAATTTCTCCTTTATTTATAGGGAAGGAAATGAGGTGTGTCATAGGCTAGTAAAATTCGTTTTGAAACTAGATAATGATGTATATTGGGAAACAAATTTCCCGGGCTGGATAAAAGATCTAGTACAAAAGGATTGTGAGGGCAACTTACCCCTTTTGTAAAGCATACTTTTTTTTTTCAACAAACGTTAGATGTCATTTTAGATTAACTTGATACTACAAGGGTTTCATTACAAAAGGTGGCCTCAACCCGCCAATCTTTGTTGGCTGCTTCTATTAGCCAAGTTGGGAAATTGTTTTCCCAGTCAATGTCATTAACTAGCTTTGTTGCAAATTGTGCTAGCCTATGACTTCCTACATTAGCTGATCTAGGTACAAAAGAGACTGTACAAAAATCAAACCCTTTAATTAGGTCCTCAATGTCTTTCAGGATGGTTACTATATGACACTCCTGCACATTGTTGTTTGCGATCATGTCGACTGCTGTTTTACAATCTGATATCACTTCTATCTTTCCCCAGCCTGCTTGTCTTGCCATTTGGAGTGCCATTCTAATGGTTAAGGATTCTTCCATTAGTGCCTCTCCCATTTTCATCTCCATTACACCTCTTGCTCTCATAATTTCTCCTGTCCAGTGTCTTGCTATTATCCCCTTTCCAGTTCTGATCAGCTTTGCACTTATAGCCGCATCCGTGTGAATTCTGATGATACCTTCTTTTGGAGGTTCACTAACCTTTCTATGCTGATCAGACCCTACTTCACCCTCCATTTCCTTGCTTGCTCTTCCTGTCACCTCCTCATATTCAATCCATTCCTGTTGTGCCTTCCCAATTATATTCCTTGCTTCTCCTTTCTCATTTTCAAATTGGGCCTTGTTCCGTGATTTCCATATCTGCCACAGTATGTTTGCTGTTAGACTGATTCTTTCCTTTCCTTTTTCCATTTTCTCAGTTCGTGAAACTGCTTCCCACCATCTCCACAGATTATTTTGAAGATCATTCAGTCCTTCCCATCTCACTGGTGCTACTTTCCAAACTGTTTGAGCTATCAGACATTGAAAAAACATGTGTTTCATAGTTTCTACTTCCTCCCCGCACCCATTACATATCCTGTCGCCTTCACCTGTTCTGCTGTAGATTGTCTCCTTGGTAGCTAAGCTGTTTTGCAAACTCCTCCAGATGAAGAGTTTCGGCTTGTGTTTCAAGTTCAGTTTCCAGAGACGTTTCCAAATGCTATGCTTTCTGATTTCCCAGCTTGTTTCCTCTCCTATCCTTTCTCTTCTCATTCCATTGCTCTTTTCCTGCATAACATTTGCGTATCCTGTCTTCACTGTGTACTGCCCCGATTTGGAGAAGTTCCAAAAAAACCTGTCTTTTCTTCTGAAGCAGCTGAGTGGCATACTGATTATCTTCACACTATCCTCTGAATTGAGGATTTGATTTATAATTTCTGCATTCCATCTTCCATCTTTTATTAACTGGTTCAGGGTCTGAATCTGACAGTTTGGAGAGCAGCTTGTTGTTACTGTACCTGTTCTTGATCCCATTATCCACCTATCCTTCCATATGCTCACCTGGCTTCCATCTCCTATCCTTTTCCACATACCTCTCTGAATCAGTCTTCCTGCACTGTGAATGCTCTTCCATGACCATGATGCTGATTGTGGGGGGGGGGGTTGTTTTCGAGAGCATTTGGATCTTTTAAGTATTTTGCTCTGATCACCTTACTCATTAGCAGATTTGAGAAAATTGGAAAGCTATTCTCCGATTTATGACTCATCATTACTTTATTATCCATTTTTTCATTCACATCTCTCTTTAGATTATAATAGCATGACCCATAATTAAATCACATATTTTTAAATACAACAATATATTTAGCATAAAATGCAAAGCTTTTGAAATAGTCAAATGGAACCCACAACTAGTCTATTTGTAATAATTATGATACACATCATGACTGTTACACTCCCACTATGGGAGAGGAAAAATAAAGACTATTAACCAGTATTACACCCTTGAAGTCTTTTCAACTTAGCAGCTGTAGTAATGTCGTCATCCTAGGAAAACCTTAGGCTTAGTTTGGGAGTTTATGAAGGAAGAGAAAAGAAAAGAAAAGATAACTTAGGAAAGAAAGGAAAAGAAGGGAAAAGATGCAGATTTCGTTTGGGAGTTCAATGAAAGAAAAGAAAAGAAACATCCTTCTTTTATTTGAGAGATATGGAAAGAAAGGATTTTATGAGAATATAACTTTACGTATTTGCCCTTTCAATTTTTAAATCAAAGTCCAAAGATTAGCTTTCTTGTTCTAATAAATAGAATATTTGGGCAAGACAAATTTTTAAAACAATTGCACATGCATTCCCACAAGGTGAATAATAATAAGTTGAGTTCCCAAATGGTGTAAGACACATTTTTGATACGTTTCATGATTATTAGTCCTATCTACAAAAGGCTTATCATCTGTGATCAAGTGATCAAATTCAGGGGCTGATCCCATGGATGATAAAACTCCTAGAGGCATCAGTTTTTGTGAAGCTGTGTTGGATTGTTGATCTACATGGAAACTGGAATCCATGAGAAATGCAAGTTCTTGCTGGATCATTTTACAATTTGAAGCTTACATGGGCAAATAAACAAACAGATTGTATGCATTCAAATTTCTTATTCATGTATCACCACTGGAGCTTACATGTACCATAACCATGCAAGATATAATCACAAATCAATAATATAAAAATCAAGAGTTCATTGACAAGAATTTTATGATAGAAAATGAACAAAAAATTTAGAATATAAAGAATAACAATCTACACAAAAAAAAAATGTTTTTTCCACAATTCTCTAGAGAACATTGAGTCAAAGAAACACCTTTTGCTATTGAATTGTGGGTGAAGAATAGAAGAAAGCCAAGTGAACTCAACTAGTTGGAAGTATAGAAAGTATAGAACTAAGAAAGCTTTGCATCGGTGCTTTTACAAATCAACTATAAGATATCTCAGGAATAATGAATTTTTGTATCAGCTTTTAAAGGACAAAATTGTCTTATTAAAAATATCTTTTGGCTCCCAACAAGCTTCCGTCCTTTTCTTCCCAATTTTGGGTGGAAAAATTTTCACCAATTAGAGGAAGTCGCATCTGTTCATTTCGTTTCTTTTCCGTCCTTGTTAA